AATTTGTACACCTGATAGCCCCAACCAGCAGCTCTTCTGCTGTCATTACTGCACGTTGCAGGAATAGCATCAGCTCCTCCTAAATAGAAAACCTGGGAGCAGGACATTAAATGATGCAAACCCAGGAATCACAATTTAGGGCCATGGGCCATGTGTGATTGGCACCCAGAGCCCTCTGCCAAGCACAGCTCATGGCAGCTGGGCCATACCCTTGCAGGCAGATTTCCAGCGAACGAAAGCGTGTCCCGGGCTGCAGAGTGAGTGAATGCTGGCATTTGAGAGTGGCAGGACAAATCTGTACATCAAGGCAGTCATTTGGTTAAACAACAAGAGATGGAAATTCAACTTTTTTTTTTAATTGCAGCATGTGCTCTGATCACAGCGAGCCGTGACCGAGCACTGGTGGCGTCACACGTGCATGTACCACAAGATGGGTTTGAGTGTTGCTGCTTTTAATGCTTATGTCAAAATTGCTCGAATCCTCACCTCTTCCCACTCTGTGGCAGCTATGCTTATACTGTGGCCCCTGGCACTTCCCCTCTCTGCGACTGCCCAAGAATAGCCTATTAACAAGAACCAAGGTGCAGTTTTTTGCTTTGTCCAAGGCGGTTTGCACTCAGCGTGAATCTTTGCATTTGCCTCCTGAAAGCTGTTTAAGAAGATTTCAAGCATTTGTGCTAGATGCTCTTCACACAATTCTCCTTGAACTCAGGGCTATCTCAGTGCAGCTGCAGGAAAACTCACTCCCTTGTCTGTTTTCTAGGCACAATTTTCTGCTCAGGTATTAAATATTAATACTAATCTGATTAAGTAACTGTAAGAGATGAGTTTAATTTTTTTTTAAAAAAAAAAAGGTTTGCAGAAGAGAAAAACATAGTTTTCAACTCATAGTTAAAAAAAAGACTCTAAACTAATGCACAATACTGAAGTTACAGAGGTCTGAATAAGATAAGGGAAATAAAAAAGAAATTCCTCCACTGCAGAAAATGCACAGCATTCTCTGGTCGGCACAGAGTAAAAGCTAGTCCAGCTGAAGGATTAGGGATGCAGAAAACTAGGATACCTGGATCCTGGCAGATAGTCAGGCTTTTCCAGCTTCAGAGGGGCAGTTGCAGTGGCCTCAGCAGCCCGGGGCGATCTTGCCCAGCAAATCCCTCACCCCACATGCGTCACTTGGCTTCCTTGGCCCCATCGCTCGCCCAGCTGCCCCCATCGGGGTCTTTGGACTGCAAAGATGTCCCTGTTGCTGAAGCTCGATGCATCCCCTCGCAGGCAACCACAGCACATTATCCCTTCCATCAGCTGCCCTGTGTGTGACTAACTCGCTCTAGGATGTCACAGAACAGGACAGTGCTAAGATACTGAAGCAATGACACACAAAACGCTTAGAGAAATAATTCCTAAAGCCTAGCTCATGCCTGAACACACACACACACACACACATACAACAAGACTGTGCGCCCAAAGATCAGATCAGCACACGTCATACTCAGTTTTTGCCCATTCTCTTTTAACCCTTAAATAAATGCTTATTGTTGGCTTACCATTCTGGACAACGCTTATCAAGGTGACTATGGCGAGCAGGACGATACTTCCCAGCATTTCGTGGTTCATCTTGCCAGCCAGCTTGTCCCCTGTGTGCCCGGCAGCAGCTCAGCCTTGAAAAGCACAGAAGGAGGAAGTGATGGGCTTTTCTTATCTTGAATCATGAGACACTTCCTATGGCTTCACAGCTTGCATAGGCAACATCGCTTACTTAGATGTCTATCGGTGCAACACGGCAGCAGTGCGTAACCCCTCCGCCTGACCATATACCCTTATCTACAGATGAAGCCGAGAGAAACTATATAGATATTCAGGATCCACAAAGATCAATAATATAGAAAGGTATCCATTTACCTTTCTGCTCAGGAGCAAAACGGCATCCTCTGTATCTGACGTACGCCTGAGCATTTGGTTAGCTGTGCTGGGCGGCAGAAGGCTGGAGAAGACCAGCCAAGCTGTTACGTCATTGCCTGCAAGAGCCCACCCAGCGCACAAACGGATGGCAGGAGGAATGAACTGCTGGGCAGTGGCAGCAGCAGCTCTCACACATGGCCTCTGCGGTCACAGCCCCGTCAGTCTCACTGGTGACGAGGCCCCACAGCCCGGGGACATGAGCAAAAGCTCCTCAGCCTTGTAGCACATTGGTATGGGCAGGTGATACTGAGAGAATGGACATGCTGTGACCATCATGGGTGGCTACAGAAATATATCTTTAATTTCCGGGGATGGAACCTGCAGCTCTTACTCCTGCAAATAACTCCCTGGCAGACAGCGACAGGGGCCAGCATTCTGCATTTTACAGGCTTGGACTTCCCCACTGTAACCCCATTTTATTAGTCTAGATGCAGTGCAATTGAATATAGCTGTGGTAGTATGTTTATTGCCTCAGCTTCATGTTTGTTGCAAGACGCCACTATTGACTCCATTAAAGAAACAGGCTACCTAAGAGGCTTGGGTAGTGCCCAATGTCCAAGCCACATCCACATGAGCAGACACATTTTTCTGGATGTTCAGCTAGTTACCAATTCCCAGCAGATGCAAAACTTATATAATAGTGGGAGATTCGACTACAACTGTATTTTTTACCCAGGCTCTTTATCATGCAAAAACACCTGAATTATTTGATATGGAAATCTATCACTGGCTACAGGCAAATATACAGATAAACACTGTCTGGGAGGTATATGATTAACTTAGTCTTTGAGTTGTGACCTTTTATTAACCTGCTGGAAGAGGGCTGTATTTCTGGGAAATTAAACTGTGGTCTTAGAACCACAGAGATGCACCCATGTGAGCTGCAAAGCCATAAATAGTATAGGTTTCAGATTTGGTCTGTGACGTGCTTTCCAGACATTTAACTCCGGTAAATTTGCTTTAAAATAAATCAAGAAAAACAACAACGAGGCCCAATAGCAGTTTGAGAATGCCTTTATTCAGGCTGAGGGTCTTATTTTCCTCATAAAATTGTCTTTTATTACTGAAGCATCAATGTTTTGTGGTCTATCGAGTGCAGGATCATTGCTGGCATTTAAGGATGGTGTTTAAGGTTAAGTTTCTACTAGTGTTTGGGAAAGGAAAACCCATCACCTAGAAGTGCTGTGAAATTAAGCCACAAGAGGGCTGTTGGCCCCACAAAAGGCAGGGGGATGCGCGTGAAGGAGGGAGCTGCTGGTGGCACCCTTGGCAGGAGGGAGCTCATGATGTGGGGCAGCGATGGAGGGGATGTGGGTCCCCGAGGCAGCAGTGGCTGGACTTCTTCCAGCCTTCCCCACAGCAGGGGCTGATCCTTTCTTCTCTCTCCTGCCTATTTTACATCAGCACAAACCTCCCAGGCCACTCAGTCCAGAGGGTGATAAAAGCCAATGAGGCTGTTCTGCGCCTCAAACGCACCACAAAAACGCATACTCCTCTCCACCTTCAAAGGCTCCCCAAAGGTGGCTTCAATTTGGCAGGGCTCTCATATTCGAGGTGGTAGCAGCCAGGCTCCTGGGGTTTGCAGCTGCCGCAAGGTAAAGAAATAAATATCAGGAGGTAACGGCAGCCGCTCTGCAGGCTGGACCACCCAAGAGCAGCAGCACCACGTGTGCCGCTCGGGCCGAGCACCTCCTCTCCTCCCTCCCTCATGGCTTATTTCCCACTTCTGTGATTTTATTGCGGTGAACCTGCAGGATCACTGGATGGGGAAAAGTTGGCGCTCCAGGGCTGAAAGAAACGTTGGTGCAAAGCACCTCCATCATACTGTACCACATTGCACCTGGACGTCTGAAATAAGGAAGGCCCTCCTAAAAAAACGTCCCTGTGAGGGGAAGCCTTACGGAGAGATGTTTGTGTTCACAGTGCCCACCAGTCCCAGTGTGTGCTCTTCAAGTACAGGGAATCCTGCGTTCACCAGCCCTTCTGCTTACTTTCGTGTTACTTGAAATCCACATCTTCCTGCATGAGGAAGATAAACTTGTCAGGGTGAGCTACAAATCACGTGAAAACATACACAGCTGGCAAGCTCTTCTAGTTGTGCCGCGATGCTTCCAGCACATTAATCTCCTCCTCTGGAAATCCTTAGCAGCCATTCAGAATAATTCCTTCACAGAAATACTTTCATTCTGAATAGGAAGAGACGGTGGATGCAGATCTAAAAATACCTCCCTATATATTCATCTTTCCTCTGCTCGTGTACACTGGTGCAGCTCTTCAGCTGTCAGCTGCACAGGCTCGAGTGCGTATGTGTCCTAATAAAACCTGCCCGGCCAAGCGCCTACATGTAACTATCAGATGACACGCGGCCATCGTGCTTTATCCGAATGGCAGCGCGGGCCCTGTGCAGGGACTGGGTGACACTGGCGCGGCGCTTCGCAAGCTTAAGGCACCTTCATAACCACCAAGTGTACACACATAGGTGCACGTTACATCGTTTTGCTGAATGATCTCGTCCTTTCCAAGCCAAGGCAAAATAAATGAAAGGAAACACGAACGGAGCAGGAAACG